CAATTAAGATTTTTATAATTTTTGCTTGATCGGTGCAGAATATAGTATGACAATCACTCTTGCCGTCCTTCCATGTTTATTCAATAGCAAGAGAACTCAGACCGAGCTGATCAAAAAATACAATGATTAGTATATCTCGAGGAGAAAACAATAATCAGTGCAAGGGACAAGATCGCTTTCAAGAGAATCGGTGCAAACTATGCAAGCCTATCATAACGAACTCATTCATACAGTTATTGTGAATTCGTATAAGAGTTTATAAGGTTCAAAATCGTCTTCGGTATCCACCTCCATTGTCTTCACTGCCAGTTGGCCTGGAATGAGAAAGTTCGTAAAGTAACAAAATCCCTCGCGCATAAAGTTTTGCTTTTAATATTACATACGCTGTTTGGCCACCAGAATTGGCAGAAACTGGACCAGGGGGATTTGAATCTTCACAGTCAGATCCGCCATTTCCCTAAATAGTACTTCTTTGAAAGAGTATAGGAGCTAAGTAACGACAGCCTATAACTTGCGACTGGCTATATGATCAGTCCACTAATTGTACGTATTTAACATAATAGTTCTTGAAATGCTACCTGGTCTTTTCCGCCACTTCCCCCACCGGTTGCTACTCCGACTGCTCCCTGGCTACCCTACGAGTAAACTGTTTTTCTAACAGGGATCGTATTTCGCTGAATTAGAGAGACTTCACCTGTGGCGGTTCCTCTACTGGCGGTGGTGGCGCTAATGGAACATCAACAGCTGGTTGATCGCTGATCCTATTTCCATTCATATCCATAGCGTCATCAGGAAGTCCCAGAGCTTGGTAGTTTGGAACAATAACCGATGGTCCAGAGGATCCACCCTGATTTGTGGATGGATCAGTTCAATCAAGTACAGCTCAATTCATGATATCAAGGTGATTGTTACTAACTTGAGCTGTCGCAGCAGCTACGTTTCCATTGTCGCTCGTATCCACTACAATGGCGAACGTAGGAATGTGTCCCATCTAAACATATCGTTGGGACTCCAGGCTTCTTTGACACTCAGATACTTGCTGACTCTTCAGATGTTAAAAAGAAGTTAAAATTGATGGGTGTTTTACGTGTACCAATTGTTATCACCCCTTCGACACTCATTG